AATTAATATCAAACTGACCGAGTAGTTAACTAACAATAGTTTTCGCTATATTCAAGTACACCTTCTTCATTGTATACTTCTATCATAATAAGCCCCATAACAATATACTGTTGATGTTTTGTTTTTCGTGAAAGAGTATGCACGTATGTAAAGTTATATTTATATGCGTAAAGCTTTTTCTGGTCAGCTCAGCCTAGAATTGAATGCACTTTATTGTAAATAAATATTTAACTTCAATTTAAATAAATATATATTGTTCAAAAGGTAGACGTTATTATTTTTTTACGATTATTATGATAAGATATTATGCATATATGTGGTATAAAGTACGTTCTTATATGTATATAACTTCGTCACCGATTTATCCGGCTTTGTTCGGGTCGGGACGGATCTTTCGAGACTTTCATCATAAGAGTTTTTTCTTCTCTTTATCTTACGCAAATCAAAAAGGTAATAGAAAAAATTGAGAAAAAATTCGAACACAAACAAACGCGGAGAAAAAAGTGAACGAAGCTGACGCGAAATTACGTACCACAAAACAACTAAACGAGTTCTTGCGAAGAAACAAAAAAAAAAACATAAATAACTTACGAACTTACCCATCTGTTCTGTTATCCAAGAGGTTTCTCTCGAAAAGATCCGAACAAAGTTGAATTAATTCTATTCAGACTTAAGTTATATTAGTTCTCACGATCCATCTGTGCGTTTGTTAACGTCTTAGTCATTTCGTGAGTTCAAGCGAGATTCGGCAATATATTATTACAGAAATGGTCGCAGACGAACCAAGAGTTGGTGTTGTCGATGCTCTCTTATTTCCATGCAGGTACTAAGGCTGTTCCGTCCAGGGGCGGGTTTTATCATTTACCAAAGGAAGGGCTAATGGAGGTTTAAGAATTTAGTTAATCGTTTTTTAAATCTATAATAAATTTTAAATTATGGAATTTGTTTTTGAGTCCCTTATAAGTAAGTCATTTCTTTTATAATAGAGACAAAGTTTAAATAATAACATTATTGGTATCAATTTTAATCTGAAACCATTTTAAAAACATAGATATGCACATATAATTAAGAACAAAAATTAGCTATTAATTTATAGAAAAATATATAAAATATGTATCATATTCATCAATGACGATTGACGATATTTTATAATAATTATTAATATATCAATATATCCTAATAATTGGCTTTGTCAAATAGTTATCTTAATCCCAAAGGCTCCCCCCGGCTAATTCACCTTTAGCTACCCCCTTAAACCCGCCCTGGTTCCGTTGTCCGCCTTGACCGTAAACATGTTCTTTGTTCCAATAGATGTAGCGACACAAAATGTTATTGGATACTGCTAGTGTTTAAATCCACGAAGAGACATTATTTGTTAATCAATAGATGTTCACGGACACCGAAGTGTCTTTGTGGCGCATAATAATAACAAACAATTCGACCTTTTGCGCATCCCGTTACAATGAGAATCTCTCACTTGGTATGTCAATGTGTTGGCTATTTCTAAGACCCATAGTAGTGGTACCAGAATTCTTTTTAAGTAGGGCCAATAGGAGGCTAAAAATTATAAGGTATGGCCACAAAAAATGAGATTTTAATGTAGAAAAAAAAATAAACATACAATAAAAATAATATGAATTAATTAGTAAATAAAAAATGTTTAAATGATTTTAAACAGCACTATGACAAAACTACATTAAAATAATAATGTTTATGAAAAATGACAATAATATTATATCTAAAGTAAATAGGTAGATATAGGCTTAGACTGGTAGGGCTGTCTCACTATCACTTTGAATTGCACGATTTCAAGTTACTAATATATAACTGTCGAATTTCAAACGAATCCTACGACAAAGAAGCAAATCACGAAATAGTTTACTTTTAAAAATCTTGTTGACCTAAGACAGAAATCGCATAAATTGTATTTATTTATTTCCGTATTCTAACCTATATAAGTTGTATAAATTATACTATTTATTTTGTTGTTCCTTCGAAAGTCGCCGGTTGTTCTTGTTATCTTAGAATTGAGAGATCTTTTTATTTCTTCGCTTATAAAATAAAAAAATAACTTAGGTAATCTTATACAATGAATTATGCATTCAAACCATATCATAATTAACCATATCAAAATCGATTGGTACGTACGAATCAGGACGAATGTTTGGTTTTATTATGGTTTATTTTTGTGTTATTTAAAATATAAGTTACTTTATCATAATACTATGTTTTTGTAAAGAAATCAAATATCTTGGTGATGACACATGGTACTTATATCGGTTTAGTAATTTTATTTTTGCTGAAATTGCAATTCAATTTTATAATTAGATTATGAAATTTAAATCAAAAATAATGAAAATTGTGATTATTACTTAATGGTGTAAGTAACATGAATATTTGGGGTATTATTATTTTTAGTTATTTACAGAAATTCTGAACTATGATTAATATTTCACTATATTAAAAAAAAATAAAAAATAAAAATAATAAGAAAGTCATTAAATTAATATACAACGAAAATATATCATCTTTATATATTATTAAAACGTGAGGCGATTTCGTATGACAATTATATCTGAAGTTCTACTGGACCGATTTTCATGATTTTTTTTCTTAACGAAAGTACTTGGTGTGTAAATGAGCCATCAAAAGAGAAAAGTTCAAAAATATAATTATTTTAATAGTTATTAAAAGTAAACAGTTTGCCACATTGATAAATTAACATTATCTATTCAACAAGATTTAATTGATAGCACAAATCAAGAAAAACGTGATATTATACACACTATAATGAAATATGTGAGTCTTGAAAATACAAGAGTTCCTAACCCATATTTTATTAATGGGCCTGGTGGTACAGGGAAAACATTCGTCTATAAATGCCTCATTAACAATTGTATAGAAATGGGTTACGATATAATTCCGGTCGCTTGGACTAGAGCAGAAATGTTATTACTCGGATGTCGCACAGTACATAGTCGATTTAAATTACCTTTGATTTTGACAGATACTTGTTTCATCATTAAAGGTTAATAGCAAAGAGACATCAACTATTCGAAAATCAAAACTTATTATTTGGGACGAAGATCCTATGGCAAGTGCGTATGCGTTAATGGTTGTTAATCGATTATTAAAAGATATAATGGAAAACGACGTTTTCTTTGGTGGGAAAGTTATTGTCTTGGGAGTAGATATTAGACAAGTTTTACCAGTTGTAATTTAAATGTTATCTCCAATCTAATGAATAGCCCAATATTTATTGTACGAAATATGTATGATCATTCTTTAGACTTGGAATTTATAACTGGTCAAGGAACTAGTCAGCGTATTTTATTGCCTAGAATTGATTTGACCCCGTCAGATTCAACCCTTCCCTTTTCATTTAATAGACATAAATTTCCGATAAGGATAGCTTTTGCTATGACAATAAACAAAGCGCAGGGTCAAACATTGGATAAAGTAGGATTGTATTTACCCCAACCTGTATTTAGTCATTAGTCATTAGTCAACATTATGTTGCCATGTTTAGAGTTAGATCTTTTGAAAAGTTAAAAATAAAAAATAATATCAAATAACAAAAAAGATACAATGAATAGAGTTTATAAAGTAATTCTATAATAATAATACACAAATTCGTTGAACTTCATTTGTTTATCAATTTTTTTTGTTTTGGGTGAAATATTTACAGTTTTTCCTTTTATAAATATACTAGCTGACCCGGCAATGCTTTGCTATTGCTAGATTTCAGTACATTTATATATGTTTAGGAATATGTGAAAAGTTTGATATGAATTATATCAGATATTTAATTTGATTAATTTTTTTTATATACGTGTGGAATATATTTGTTTCTTTATGATGTATGATGTATGATTTTTATTTTTTTTGTTAATTATATCAATTTGTCTTAAGTATTAAATATTTCTGGATACACCACGTTAAGTGTCTCACCTTCTGGGGCCATCACAAATAGATTTTGTTTGCATGTGACACGTGACAGAGCTACGTACAATTGACCATGGGAAAAACACTGGACGGTTAAGTCTAAATCTGCAACGTTTAATGTTTGACCTTGTGCCTTATTAATAGTCATTGCAAAGCTTAATTTTACGGGAAATTGGTGCCGCTTGAACTGAAATGGCAAATTGGTTGGTATCATTGGCATTCTAGGAACCAAGACCATTTCCCCAGCTCCGCAGCCAGTAAGGATTATACACTCAAGCAGACAGTTTTTTAAAGACTTTATTTGTAATCTTGTACCGTTGCATAATTTAGGTGGACTTAAGTTACGAAGTAAAATTATAGGAGACCCTATTTTTAGAATTAATTTGTGTGGTGGGGTCCCTGAAGGTGATAAAGAATTTAAAAATTCAGTTGGATAATGTATCGCCTCCTCTGCATCTAAAACAGTGTCAATGGAATAGTAATCTTTTGTTGGTGCGTTGAATTTTAACAGTATCATGTCATTTATTTTATTGACTTGATCGTTAGTTGGTGACAATATGGCTCTTTCTTGTAACCAACTTGGCGTTTTAGTCGAAATATTAGGTAAATCTGGGTAAACATTTTCAATTAGGTCCATAAAATTAGACATCAAAAAACAAAGCTCAGACAGATCAATTTTACCATTTCTAGTCAATGACTGACCATTACCAACACGGAGTAAAGCATCAGCAAAAGTTTTATTTCCTTGGTCAGATGATAATATTCTCATATTAGTTTTAAGTTTCAATTTAGTTATGTCTGGCCAAATGTAAGATCTCTTTAATGATGCATTGACTTCATCAGCTCTCGTTCCTCTTACTACAACTGGCAAGATTTGACGAAAATCTCCAGAAAATAAGACTGTACAGCCACCCATTAATGTATTTTTATTACGTAAGTCCCGCAAGGTTCTATCCAATGCCTCAACCGAGCTTTTGTGGGTCATGGATGCTTCGTCCCAAACAATGAATACACAATCCCGCATCAATTGAGCAGTGTTGCTTTGTTTGGATATATTACAGACACTTGATTTTGTCATCGTAGGACATTTTTAGCGGGATCTTGAAAGTGCTATGCGCAGTTCGACCACTTTCTAAAAGCGTAGCTGCAATTCCAGATGAAGCCACAGCAAGAGCGATTTTTCTGTCTGTTCTTATTTTGGCGAGCAATAAGTTAATTAAAAATGTTTTTCCTGTACCTCCAGGGGCATCAAGGAAAAATGTTTTGCCTTCGTAATTATTAATAGATGTCATTACTGCGTCATAAACCGTTTTCTGATCAGAGTTTAAACGTCTCTCATTTTGAACGACCTGTAATAGACGGACACTATCGTAGGACGTTTCCCGCAAGTATTCAGTATTGGTATTCAGATTTATATTGTTCGATAGAATTAATCCAAAATCAGTGATATTTTTGCCAGAAACTGATTGCACCACTTTATTCAACTCAAGTAAAGCTTCATTAAAAATATTTTCATCGTAATTTATATCATCTGATGGACATTCTTTTTGTTTTCGAAACAATACGTCTTCAGCCATACTTGCACGATGATTTTGCCAAAGCCTTATCGGGTCTGTTACTTGGCAAAATACTATCAAAATGGCAAATAAATTTCTTATAGACGGTGAAGTACAACATACAGTAGCTTCAGATAATGTGTTTTCCCATTGTAAATTTTATGGTTTGAACTCGAGTCGCTGTCTTTGAAATCTTACAAAAGTGCCACTGCGCAAGAGAAATCTGTGCACGGGTGATAATTTTATTTTAATTTTTTAATTTTATTAATTAAGTTATACAAATAAATTGTATATTAAAACCTTCCCTGAATCTAGACCTATTGATTAGTGAAAACTGTACTAACATCCGTTGGGTACTTTTTGAGTTATGCGCGTTCATACAAAAAAGGGGGTTCTATTTTATATAGTATATATATATATATATATATTATATTATATTATTATTATTATTATTATTATTATTATTATTATTATTATTATTATATTATATTATTATATTATTATATTATATTATATTATTATATATATATAGATAGATTATAGATAGATAGATTGTGTATATTTTCTATAGTATCTATAAATTAAATTAAAATATATTTTATGTTTTTCCTTTACGTTAATTGCACATTATTCTAACAATGTATACATGATACATCCTTTATATTTATTTATTATATACAATTATTCAACTATTTGATTTTTTTACCGTAACCCGGTAGCGATGGGTAATTCAGTTAGTAAAAATTAAAATCTTGAGTATAATTTATTTTTGTATATTATGCTACAACATAACATATTTAACGAATTTAACATTATATTTTAAACATGCATCTTTAGGAGAAATAATTTTAAATAATATATTAGAAATCCAAAACATATTTTGATTATTTTATGAAATCTATTTTAACTAGTTTACCAAGTTAAATGTGGCGTTTACTAGTTGGGTCCCCAAGACCCTAATTTAATCTAATAAGGTCCTAGTGTTTTTCAGGTAGTACGCTAGTTGGGTCTCATGATTTTACTAGTACCTACTACTCTAATTGGGTCCATACAAAAAAAAAACATTTCCCTTCTCATTTTCGTAGACATAGGACTGTCAGTAAACTATACCTATACTAAAACACATTTATGATTTTTTTTTTTCCAAGTTTCTAATACAAGTATGTAATTGTATATAATTATTAATTGAAAATTAGAACACTGGTATAAGGTAAATATTAAAAAATTTAAAATTGTACACAATTGGTAAAAATCTAAACCACAGAGCTTTTAAAAACTCAAATACATTCATTTTTAATCATTATCAAATGTATTAATACTTGTAAGTTACCTACAACTTTTATTATCGGAGAGGTTGGACCGAACTAGTAAGTTATCGTTTTCAAAATCGGATCCAATTAGTTGTTTATCTTTATAATAAATATTATCCGGGATCCAATTCGGATCCGCTAGTTACATATTTATATTCTCATTCATTTTTAAACTTTAAAAATAAATTTTCAGTTCGTGTTTGGACGCCGCTGCGACCACACGTGTTTTAATCGCGTGCCGTCTTAATTAGCTTCCGATAGCAGTACTACTAATCGTGAACGCCGCGCCGCAGGCGATCGGTAATGTATATGATAGGAGCATAACAACTCACATAATCATTACGACTAAAGCTACAGTTTCCAAGCTGCGGCTGGCCGCAGCGGCTAGCTACAACGACACACGTAGTCTGACTGTGCTATTTAAAATTGCGAAGCGTGGTTTCCAACGTGCGATCGACGATTGCAGGATATAAATAGTCGTTGCGGCTCGTGGCTATAGTGGTCTGATAGCAGTGCATTGCGTGAGTCGTGATGCGTGTCATATAGTGATTTATTGTATTTTTTACATTTTAATTAAAAACTATATCTAAATCTACATTTTCGTCGAACGATGATGAAGTATTGGTGAAAGAAGTTGAGAAGCAATCCGTATTGTATGATAGCTCCCACGAAAAACATAAAGATATTATATATAAAGACGTGATTTGGAACAATATATCATGTATAGTTGGAAAATCAAGTTAGTATCTACAAATTAGTTGAACTTGAACAGATAAATAATATTAACTCTAGAATGAAATATTTATTTGATTATAAAAAGATAACATTGTGATTTAATACTTAAACATCATATTATATATTATAGCAGAAGATTGCAAAAAAAGATGGCGTAATATTCGCGATACATATATGAGGAATAAAAAAAAGTTAGGAACAGGATCAGCAGCTACTTTAGCTAAAAAGAAATGGCCTTTAGCTGGACATGTTGCATTTTTAGATCACGTCGAATATCAACGGAAGTAAGTGTCAAACATCAAAATATGATTGACCCCCCTCTAGATCCAGCCCTGATTATACCTATAATTAATTGTATTCCCCAACCATAAAAAATTTATATCATACTTAGGAAATTTTTATAAAATTCAATATTTCAGTACGACAACAAATGTATCGAATGATATTTCGATGGGAAATTCGATGTTATCGGAAGATAAAGACGATTCAAATACTGAAAAACTATTCAATGAACCAGTTATAGTGAGCAACGAGGCTACGCATGTGGAAAAACGACCGAGAACCAAACCTGAAAAGTTTGATTACGTAAAAAGAGCTATGGAACGAACAGCTATAATAAATAGCATACAAACTCAAAATCAAGCCATTTTAAATAGAGAAGCTGATGATGAAATAGATTTCTTTTTTAAAAGTATGGCAATATCAGTAAAAAAACTTCCAGCTAAAGGCAAAACAGAGGCTAAATTACAAATACTCACATTAGTGTCACAATTAGAACAGAAATATTTAGAGCCGACTGCGCAACCGACTCAAGTTTTGTTTCAGATTCCCTCTCAGCAAAATCATAGCCTTCTGTCTCTTTCGAGTTCACCATCGCTATGTCCTAGTACTTCATCAGGCGCTTCGCAAGGATTTGAATCATATAATATGTCGACAGCATATGGTAACAATTATAATTATAATAATAACTAATACTATCTATACAAAAGTAAATTCAAAACTATTTTGTAATAATAAGTTGTTTTTTATATTTTAATGAATATACAAGGATTGATATTTTATATAACTAAGTATAGTTTTAATTTTTATTACTCATATGTTTTTTTTTTTAAATTTTATACAAATGAATTGTTATTTAAATTTAAATAATTTTTAAATAAAAGTTACACCTATTTATTTAAATAATCTATCTATTTTCTTGCCACGAAACAGCTCCTTCGTTATTGAAGAAGTCTTTAAATGAATCTCTGACGGCAAACCCATCCGCGTTTGCGAAACCACCTCCTCTAGCAATTTGTATCATATTGTTTGTCGGTATCGGTTCACTTGAATCAAATTCTTGATATGCTCGTCCATTTTCTTCCAAATATGCATCTCGTAGCATATTATGTAATCAACAAGCTACAACGATTAAATCGTCACACGACGATGGTTCTATGTTTATAGGTTGGTAAAATACTCTAAAAATCTGGCTTAATAAGCCAAACGCGTTTTCTGTCACTCGTCGGGCACGGCTCAATCGATAATTAAATATAGACTTAGATTTATCGTCTCTTGAAGCATTTCGGGTATATGGTTTCATTATATTAGTATGAAGTCTAAATACTTCATCTCCTAGTATAACATGAGGTAAAATTTTTGAAGAGTCTGGTAATTTTTTTGCTTCAGGAAAACCAAATGACCCATCTAATATCTTTTTACCCATATTTGACTTTAAAAATATACCGCTGTCACCTTCTCTGCCAAATGAGCCAACATCAACAGCAATAAATTTGTAGTTAGCGTCAACCATAGCCAGCAGGACAGTTGAAAAGTAGTCTTTATAATTAAAGAAAAGAGATCCTGTTTTACTGGGACTTCTTACTCGAACATGTTTACCATCAATAGCCAAAATGCAATTTGGGTAGTTCCATTTTGTCCAAAATTCAGAAGCTTTAACATTGAAATCTATTGTTGTTATATCAGGAAGAAAAATAGGCATTAAATATTTCTTTAAAGCTGACAGCGTGATTTTGATAATTAAACTGATATAACTATGTGAAATTCTAAACGCAAATGAAAGTGATCGAAACGATTCTCCTGTTGCAAGATACCTACGAATTATAAAATAAAATCTATATATTTATGTGTATGGATAGTTTAATGGATTATAAAATATACTCTAACGTATTTTTATATTTATATTAATTAAACTATTATATAAAGTGATCAGTTACTCGTAAAAATGTAATTTAATACCTCTTAACGCATTTATATATAAATTAAGTATTAAAATATTTACCTTAAAGTAACTGCTAGTTTTTCATCAGATTTAATTGGTTTTTCACACGATTAGATGGAGGTAATGATATGTCGTTCTTTATTAGTGATAGTATAAAAGTAAACTGATCAAAATTTAAGCGAAAAAATTCTCGAAACTTAAGTTTATTATCATTTAAATGCCCTTAATAAGCACTTCAAAAAAACCTTCATCTCTCATTTTAAACAATTTGCTAATTGAATTTCTCTTACTAGTTACTAATAATGGATTATGACTATTATCTTCTTCTTCTTCTTCCTCTAGTAATAATAAAATTATTTTATTATTATTATCAATAACTTCTTCCATCACAACAAAACTAGTATAATAAATAAATTATTTACCAAAAAACACGTGTTTACTCTACACAATATTAGGGTAAAATGAACTCCGGCCGCAACGTCTAGTCGTATTTAGGAAACCAGTCGGCACGCAACGTTTAGTCGTTACGGCTGATCGTTGCGGCTGATCGTTTCGGCCAGCCGCAGCTTGGAAACCGTACCTTAAGACCGCGTCGTCGTTGCATTATCGCTACAATGAGCGATAATACGTCCGTTAAACCTACTTTTCCATATTTAAAACGTTCACAAACGAACCTCACTAGTAAATCTAACCATAATATTTCTACATCAAATATTCCAAAAACCAAAATCCAATCAAAGAATGCATAAACCAATATAAAAAACACATCTATTTTAACTCTTACAGACACAAATACCACTGCTAACTTTTCAAATGCTAATCATATACAAAAAACATTTGCAGAAACGACAGCATTTTTTTCTTTTCCTAAGAAGGACCAAGCGATTATATTCAATACAATTGACGGCACACCACAAATAAAGTATATTAAAGCCCTAAGTTCCATAACTAACCCGGCTAACATAAAATGTACGTCCAGAATGTCCAATACTTATTTTTGCGTCTATTTTGCAAACAAAAACATAGTCAACGACATTATGAACTCCAACCCGTCAATCACTGTTAACAACCTCACCATTCCAATCCGCAAATTAAAAAACCAATCAAAACGAGTAATTATTTCTAATGCCTCGCCCATAATTACACACTCATACATCACAAATGCATTAAACAACATCAAAACACTCACACCGATCACTTTCTTAAAAGCCGGTTTTACAACAGATAACTTGTCCCACATAATAAGCTTCCGAAGACAGACCCATATCCCTCACAAGGATATATCAAAACTATCCGGATCACTCGAACTCAATTTCGAAGACACTGACACTTAAATTTTATCCACTTCATTAAAACAACAGAATTATCCTTACTAATTTAAGTCTGCAACTGTGATATATTAGATTTACCCCTTCAAAGAATAACCTTAAACACTATAATGCTATTACATCATATAATCATCAACACCACCTTTGTAATCCCTATATTATAATTAATCAGTCTTTTTTTTTCTACTTTTTATCTTTTTATTTACCATAGGCTAAAGAACTTTGTATTTGAAGCCTTATCAAATAAAAAAAAATTAATTAACAAATAAATTTTAATTTAACAAGTTAAAAATATTATTTTAATTCACACTGTACAGTACCGCGTTTAAAAAAAAATGGTTTGATTGAATACTCTTTAAATACACATAACAATATATACTGTTTTCGTTGTATTTAATGAAAATACGTCATGGTCACGTAGATTAAAAAATGTTATCAAATTTTTATCATACTAATACCCAGAAATAGCTAACGTATTATCAGGTACTTAACTATATTTAATGTGTTTTTATTCCGAATAATCCTTAACCAGTGGATTAATGTGGATACGCAACTTATAACGAATGCAAAATATATCACCACTCTGGAAAAAGTTTGAATATGGGCTTAAATTAAATGTTGATAGACACATCACTCAGAGTAATTTCATTTTTTTACGTACGGTGTTTGGGAAAATCACTTTTGATGTTATACCTTTTATTTTTTGCATATATCCTTTTTTAAAATGTGAAATTTATTTCATTATATTGTTATTTCACGTATCAATTTTAAACTGTTCAAACATTTTAACAATTCTTATTTATTATATATCAATTCGGATAAATTTGTTCCATGCATTTCGAAATTTACAATAGTTTTTTCCTAATGGATTACTGCGTGTTGGCTATCAAATCTGCACCAAACAACAAATATATGTACAGAGGCGGATTTATCTTTTTTACGGCTATAGGCACCAAAAATTTGCCGCTCCTATAATAGGTGAAAAAGTTACAATACGCTTCCAAAATACCTACTCTAAATATTTAATATATAGACAATAGTAGTGGACATCCATTTTAATTTTTAGACTATTTTTTTCGCCTGAAGTTATTTAGCCTACTTTGAAAAAAATGTCAATGGTTGTTCACTGAATTTGAATAAAAACCTACAAAATAAAATAAAATATATAGTATTATCAAAAACTGCTTTCTATATAATTGTTTACTTTAATATTTATAGGTAATGACTATAAATTATAATGAACCAAAATAGATTGGTATACTGAATATCATATACGATGTACTATATGTTTGATCGTATGATGTTTTTCAATAAAACACTACAAAATTTGCCACCCCCCAAATTTTGCCGCCCTAGGCAGCTGCCTACAATGCCTAATGGGAAATCCGCCTCTGTATACGTAGTATTGTAATAAACACTATACGTTCATACCCAAAGTTTGTCGTTTATTAAGACCACAATAATTATTTAGTAAAAAAAATTGAAAGATCAATTATCTTAAACATTATCATAATTGTTATTTATCATCAGTACTTTTAATTTAATTATCGAAATATTTATGTAGCTCAAGTGATATTATATGTAAATAATATTCTACAATTTTTGTATCAATATATTGTTTTAGTGCTTACTATGAGCAGGGCAAATGGTAATCAGTAATAATATAATGCGAATACAAATATATTTAACGAACGCTGCAAACCATTAAAGGTATCCCTCAAAATGGATTATATTTATGAACGATATGAACTACAATTTTAACAATTGTATGTGTAATCGCGAACGATTAATAAATTAACTTTTTAATATAAATAAATAATAATGGACGCCAAAGTTTAAATTTATCGAAATTCGGAGTACTTGTTATACGTGATACAAACATTTCTGTAGCTATAAACGATGTAATAAACAATATTAGTCTATTTATATAAGTAATTTTCATCGGGCGTAAAATAATGTTGTCAGATTTACCTGGTAAAATAGTATTCAGTGTCGTTAGGGTACGACTAGTGATTCACAACATTACCGTATTTCGATATCGATATGACCAACCTATCAAATATTTTGTCGATATCGATATCAATTAATTGAATTTTGAAATTACTATTTTCTATTAAATAAATACTTAAGTTAATGTTACTTTAAGTTATGTAAGGAATCATGGTCAAAGAACGATTAAACATGAACGATCAACTATACGATAACGCTTTTTTTGTGAAAATGGTTAAGTCGTTACCAAAAGAAGAAATCGGTTATTTCCAGACTAAGTCAATCAACTACTCTTTTTGAATCCATATTAAAAGAAAAATATTTATCAGATATATTTATATACTTATAGAACGTAATTGTATGAAAATTAGAAAATTAAAAAATTAGAAAAATCAGAAACTTATATTAATTTAAAATCTGTACAAAAAAATTAC